CACCCCCTCTAGCGTTGGCCCATGAGCTCTGCCAGCCAGCCCCTGCTGTACGTCCTCAGCCAGGTGGATGGAGAGACCTCAACGAGCATCCTAGGGCCTCCTGTGGGAGGTGGCTAATTAAGATGGGTGTTGGTGCTAGGAAAATGTGCCAAGCCAGGCCCCAGGTGCAATCCCAAACTCTTGGTGGGCTACAGATTTATGCTCAGTCTCAAACTCTGACAGGAATGTATACACACTTGGTCTCTCACCCTAACAGCCCTGCATTCCAGCTCGCAATTGTACTCACCACCCACTCTGTACCCACCACATCCAAAGAGCTCGTATACCTACATCTTGCTCCAGAACCCTTCTTCAGTCAGCTGCCCCACTGTAACCACCTCCTGCTTAAAAAGGTCAGGTAGTTATAAGGAGAACAGGTTATGGAGGAGAACAGCAACTATAACCAGACAAAACCACCATGCTCTCTCAATTACTTTCATAATAATTGTCTGTAACAATAGTTTACGACACACTTTCAAATATATGGTCTTTATGACAGGCCCAAGGGGTGCAGGAAAGGAAGCCAAAGTTCAGAGAGGCCAGTAAGAGGTGAAAAAAAAATCTATGGAAATCTATGGGTCTAGGTCTTTTTTTTTTTTTTAGATTTTATTTTTAAGTAATCTCAGCACCCAACGTGGGGCTCCAACTCACCACCCTGAGATCAAGTGTTGTACGCTCCCCCGACTGAGCCAGCGAGGCACCCTTGTGAGCCTAGGTCTTCTGATTTCAACTCTGATACTCTTTTTCACTATACCACCCAAACAAGATGCCTGCCAACCAGTTCCCCTTATCTCTAATACCATTGTCTTGCCCTTGATTTCGGACCTGAAAGAGAAGAGGGTGGATGAGGAATTAAAGGACAGAATGAAGATGCAGGGGGTATGTGGGGGGTATGTGTGGCTAATTTGATCTAATCACTTTGTTTCAGGACTCAAACCTTTCTGGCCCTGCCAAATGTCTTCTCTCCTGCATATGTTCTTGATACTAATTTATGAAGGATAGGGGATTATAACTATGTGACTATTTGTATAGTTGGAGATTAGGGAATTGGGGGCTGGGATTACCCACTGGAACTTATAGCCTGATGAAAATAACTAACACTGAGCGTTGACTGTGTGCCAAGTACCGTTCTAAGCATTCTGCATATATTAACTCAGTCAGTTCTCACAACAACCCAAGAGGCAGGTGTATTGTTATTTATCTCTACTTACAGATGAGGAAACAGCCACAGAGACCCAAAGGTTATGCAGCCAGTAAGTGGCAAAGTTGGAACCCATGCAGTCTGGCAGTTAGACTACTGCTTCAGCAGTCATAGAATCTAAGTACATACTAACTGAAGTCATCCTGTGGGGTTGAAGGGAGGTTTTTTGTGTTCCCATTACCACTGTTTCTCTTGGGGGAAAGAGGAATTATGACTTTTCCCATATTCATGAAAAACATTTATTCAATAATAAGCATCTTGATCAACCTCTATGCCCACCCCCGTGAAAATGTGGAGACTCCTCCTTCCCCTAATATTTATTCATATTCCTTCACATTCCAGACCCCTCCCTCGGGCTTTTTTTTTATAAGCCCTGGATCAGGCACGTGCTCTGAAGATACCGAGGACACGCATGTCTGCGCTGTGGCTTTGTCATGTACGGGAATGCCCTCGCTCGAAGCAGCTGTTCTTCACACTGAATTTCTAGCATATTCACACCCAGTTAGGAGGGGATATGGAAGAAGAAATGTGTACTAGTGGACACACCTGCAAATGTGTGACGGTTTGTTGGATGTTACTGTGCCCAACCCGGGTCCTCCGTGGTCGGGCTAAAAAGCTCCTTTGGGTGTTCCCGAGTGTGATGCAGTAACAACAAACAACAGCGTCATCATGAGATCACTGCGGGACAAGGGGAAAGGGGCGGGGAGGGGCGGGGAAGGGGAAGGGCGCTCCCTCGAGGGGAGGAGCCCTTTCACCCTGTCCTCGAAGCCGCACCTCTCCTTCTTCCGCTGGGTTTCTCCTGCGCCCCCTCCCTCGGATTAGCCTTTACAGCGGCGACCACAGAAAGCTCTGCTTTCAATCCGAGGAAGTTCAGGCTTTGCTCCTTAGGAGAATCTATGGAAGCCCTACCCCCAGTTTAAGTTTCAGCCAATAAAAAACCTAAAGGAGGGGCCGACAGGCGGGTCAGTGACGCAATGCAGACTGATTGGCATTCAGGCCACCGACGTCCTGGATTAGCCCCGAGTTTCGCCAATCCAGAGGCAGGGGTGGGACGGTGCAGGCGCAGAGGACTGGGTTTGGCTGGACTTGATTTAAAGAGACAGAAGTTGTCGGGGTCCAAGAAGACGGTCCCCAAGAACCTTCCCCCAAGTCCTTGGGACCACTTGGGTCCCCAAAGCTGGGGAGATGGTTTGCGGTGGCTTTGCCTGCTCCAAGAATGCGCTGTGCGCTCTCAACGTGGTCTACATGGTGAGGTTTTGGAGGTGGTTCGGGAAGCTTCAGGGCGGAAAGAGGAGTGGGGAGAATCTCTAGGGGACTTCCGGTGGGAAGGGGGGTGTACTGGGGGTTCCGGGAAGATTCCCGAGAACTTCCGGCGAAGAGGGAATTCCAGGGGACTTCCGTGGGAAGAGGGGAGACTTCCGGTGACCAGAGGGTTTGTCTGGGGGTGGGGGCGGATGAACCGGGGGCTGTGGGCATAAAGGCCCATCCCGCCCTCATAGGAATTTGTTTCTCCCAAAATAAAAGTAATGGATGAAGCTAAAGTTTCCTTTTTTATATTCATAGACTACTATCCCTGCTGCCCCCACTCCCATCCCAGCCATCCTGACCTCTGGTGGGTGCATACACCTGCTGTCCTTCGTTCACACAAACTCAGATCTCCTTTTTTGTCCCAAGACTCCCTGTAGGGCTTTTGGCTGTGCTAGAGTTCTTTTGGGATGTAACCTCCTGTTTCCTGTAGCTGGTAGGCTTGTTGCTCATTGGAGTGGCTGCTTGGGGTAAGGGTCTGGGTCTGGTGTCCAGCATCCACATCATCGGAGGAGTCATTGCTGTGGGAGTCTTCCTTCTTCTCATCGCGGTGGCTGGACTGGTGGGTGCTGTCAACCACCACCAAGTACTGCTATTCTTTGTATCCTGACCTTAAGTGGGGCTCTTGGGAGGGCTGAACTGGCTAGGAATGTTTGAGAGGGGTAGACTTGGGGGATCTTGGGGACATGTCTCCTGGCCCTGCCCTGTACCATACTTCATGAAGCAAGAGCTGATGACTTGGTTTTCAACTAACACAGCCATGTAAGTTCTACGAACAGATGACAACCGATGGTTATTATAGGTGCAACATAAAGGAATCTAGGACTTTTTTTTTTTTTTTCCCATAACTCTTTCTCTCAGTACATGATCATCCTTGGGTTGGTCTTCATCTTCCAGTTTGGAATCTCTTGCTCATGTCTGGCTATTAACCGAAGCAAACAGGTAAGTGCATGTCCTCTCAACTACATGCTTTTTTCCCTCTACCCTCTAACCCCCCTCCCCTCAGTCTGGACCTCTTAGTAGCCCACTACCGGACTCTTCAGCTATTTGCTTCCTCTGGGAAGTCTGGGTAATTTTCCATGAGTATTTTCTGGAAGAACCCAGAGGTGGATTTTTATCATTTTCTGTATAATACACCTTTGTTTCTGAGAGATGTTGACTGACTTTGCTGGAATAGGGAAATCGAGGCACTTGAACTAAGATCAGGATATAAGAGCATTCTTACGGTTAGCAGCATCCAATAATTTCCCTCTTGCCTATATTCTCCAGACAGATGTCATTAATGCTTCTTGGTGGGTCATGAGCAACAAGACCCGGGATGAACTGGAAAGAAGTTTTGATTGTTGTGGCTTGTTCAACCTCACAACCCTGTATCAACAGGATTTCGCTTTCTGCACTGCAGTGAGTTGGTGCAGATGTGGGGCCAGGGGTGGGAGGGTAGGAGAGCTGGTTCAGGACACTGCCCAAATTGGCAGATTTAAGAGTTTGAATGACTGTCTCTCTCTAGCAGCTCTCTTTTGCACTGGGGCCATGTGCTGAGAGGGCAGAAGGTATGGATACAAAGGTTGGAGAATTAGTCAAGTGAGATTTCAGTCTGTAGGATACTGATTAGAAACTAGTAAATAATTTCTGGGGCCCTTCACCACAGGTGTCAGGAGAGGGCAGCCTAGCAACTCTGCATCCTCTAAACACATACATATGTGTTTTATTCTCAGATCTGTAAGAGCCGGAGCTCCACGTGCCAGATGTGTGGAGAAAAGTTTCTTAAGCATTCAGACGAAGCCCTGAAAATCCTGGGGGGTGTTGGACTCTTCTTTAGCTTTACAGAGGTAACATTCTTCAGTTCTCTCATACATACACCCTTTCTCTGTCTTAGCTCCAGAGATTCAGAATTGCTGATAATCTCTTTCCCTTTGCTTTTTACAGATTCTTGGTGTTTGGCTAGCAATGAGATTTCGGAATCAGAAGGATCCTCGAGCTAACCCCAGTGCCTTTCTATAAGACTCTAGATCCTTCTGACTTCTCTCCTGCTCTCTATCCTCCCTAAGCTTTTTTTCCTCCCTTAGGGAAAACCTAGGGTCTGTACCCCTTTTTGTTTGAGAAAAAGGAAAGGCCCTTTGCCGTATCCCCCAAAGATGACTGAACAGCCAGGCTGTATGCCTTGACATGTTTAGTGGGAGCAAGATCGTAAGGAATAAAGAACAACTTCCTCCTCTCTCCCTAAGTGGATATGGGAAGCTCCTGGGAGTGCATGAAATGGGATGGGGGTTGGAGTCATTCCTGGCTCTGTTTCCCCTCTTTTCCCTTCCACATGCCAGACCACCTCAACACATCCTGGCCTGGCTCCAAGGGTAAATCAGGGATGGAACCAGAGAAAAAACCACCAAGAACTCTTTCTTACAACAAGCAGGACCCAGTGTAGGGAAGTTCAGTGACTATAAAAATAAAAGCCATTTAAACTCCATATTCAAAGAAACAACGTAAGTGCCTTTTCTTTTGCCAGCTGAGGGGCTCCGCTTGCCTACATAGACCCTGTGAACTGGGGAGAACCTTTTAAGATTCTATAGGAAAGTGCCATCCCCCAAGTGGTTTTTCCCAATCCCCAAATGGCAAAGCCCAAGAAAGGAAGAAACATTTAAAAAAAAAAAAAAAAAAGACCGTATTTCTTTGTTTTCTTTTGTTTTTCCTGTATAAAAAAGATCCCGATATCAAGATAGGAAAGGGGAGAACAAGGGACATACCCCTTGGTGTACGAAAATAAGGGGGCAGGAGAAGGATAAGCCTCAAAAGGGGGTGGGGGGTGTCATTAAGGCAGCAAAATATTCTCAGTAAAAAGTGGGAGGAGGAGTTTCCATAGCCTCAGAGATGAAGGCCAAGATGGCCTTACTCAACTGGGGGGCTCTCCACTCAAGTGTTCAAAGGAAGGGAAATGACAGCTTCTCTTCTCTCAGTATTGTTGCGGCCACTCCACTGCTCACTCTGGGTTACCTTCTGCCTTTTGTAGATAAGAGTGCTGCAGGGCTCGGAAGGCAGAGATTCGCTTGTGTGGGTTAAAAGTCAGCATCTCCTAAGAAGGGGAGGCAAAGATCAAAAGACCATGAAGACAAGAAAAAAGAAAAAGACTTGCTCACCCCCAACAATACCCAGGACGGGCTCTTTTTCTACATCCCTCTTTGTGGATGGCCTATTCACACAGCAACAGTAAAAACTTGCCCATCCACCAACCAAGTCTTAGTAACCGTGACGATTTGGGTCCCTTTTATACTGCTTTTATTCCCACTCCAACCTCATCCTGTGCCCATGCCCAAGCCCAGTACCAGCAGCAGCTGTGCTCCAGATTCCTCCATCTCAGGTACCACTGACTGCACTGGACGGGGCCCTCGGGGGGAAAAGGCTCCTCGGGGGAGAGACACATCTCGGGGCCAGTCATCCTCTGGGGGCAGCCCGATCAGGCTATGGGGAAAAAGAGAGCTCTGGTCAAGAGGGTCCTTCTCCAGCCCCCACCTCCAGAGGCAGAGCCAACTGCCATCTGGGGCTCAGCAGAAAGAAGATTGAGAATAGAAAGTTCTTTTCCCCATGCTGGTCACTTACTCAAAGATTTTGCCTAACTGGTCAGCTTCAGAGTTCCCACAGAAGAGAGGCCTAAAGCGAGAAAAACACAGCAGTCATTTTCAAAGATACGGTAGTGGAATAATTATTGCTACTGGCTCCAAACAGAGGGTGCGGAGAATATAGGGATGTGAAATTCCTAATTCCAGGACATTTCAGAGTTTCTGGTTAGGAACAAAATGGTAATATTTAAGTGAAAGAACAGGCAGGAAATGGATGTGGCTTATGACTAAGAGATTTGGGAAACTCAAGAGAGTTCAGGAGACTTGGGTCCCATACTTGCGACGAAACATCTCTGCGAAGATACAGCCAACGCTCCACATGTCCACGGGTGTTGCGTATGTAGACTGCAGAAGAACTTCTGGAGCACGGTACCAGAGTGTAACAACCTAACCGGAATAAGAAAAAGTAGATGAGAACCCCACGGGTTACCATGAACTACAACTGCTTGACTAAAATAACGAAGCGCATGACTTCTCAACTGCTATGGTCAACCACTCTCCTACCCTCATCTTTCTACTGACCACAGGTGTAAGTGCCATCTGGTAGCTGTAGATTCTGGCCAGACCAAAGTCAGCCAGCTTGACTGTCCCACCACTGGTCACCAGAATGTTCTCTGGCTTCAGGTCTCGGTGAACGATGCAGTTGGCATGAAGGAAATCTAGGCCTCTTAGAAACTGGCGCATCAGATCCTGGTTTGGAAGGGGGAGGAACAGAGGAACTGGAAACTAGGTACCATACCTGAAATCACAACAGGTTCTACTACAAAGGTCTCAATGTACCTTCTCAGTGTCTACCCACCCTACTCACCTTGATGGTCTCCACTGGCAAACCTGGTGGGGGTGCCTTGTCCAGATAGGTCCTCAGGTCTTGGTCCACGTGCTCAAACACCAGGGTCACTTTGGTCTCCCGGTCAGTTCGGGCGGTGGCACAGACGTCCATCAGCCTGGCCAGAGCAAACGGTCACTCACTGATCAATCCCTTTGTTCCCAACATGGCCTCCCTTATTTCCTCAGGATCCCCACTTCTCTCCTGACCACCACTCCCCACCTATAAGTTGTCTTTTCCCCTTTACTGCCCACTCCTAACCCTCCGAGGTCTCACCGGACAACGTTGGGATGCTCAAAAGCCTCCAGCCGCCTCAGTAAGGCCACCTCACGAACTGTGCTGATGGGAAGGCCCCCTCCAGCACCTCCTCCATTAGGGACTCTCACACTCTTGAGGGCCACAAAGTGGCCACTGTGGGGATCACGGGCCTTGTATACTGTTCCATAGGCACCAACACCAATCTCAGCCACTGGCTCATATCGAGGAGTAGCCATTCTCAGATCAGAGGAGACCCTACAATCACAAAGACTCCTGCCACCGAAAATCCCTTCCACAGTTCTGATGGTATGAGCCTGCAGCAATAAAGTGACTCCCACAAAAGACATCACAAAGACACCACCACCACCATCCCGTCCCTTCCCCAATCTTCCATGAGGCTGGCCCCTCAGGTAACACAATGACTCTAACCCCAACCCCTCCACCCACGTGAAGCCCTAAAATAAAAAATTCCTTTTCCTTTGGGCCCGACCATCGCGCCCCGCACAACGTTCTATCTCACACGACACACCCCCTGCATCGAAGAACCGACATCCAGGCCCTAAAATTACACCTCCCTATGACCACAAAGGAACAAATGACACCCTGCCCCACTTCCCGCCCTCGAGCGACCCTTCCATAACTTGTCCGCGTAGCCAGCCGTGGAGGGCGAAAACGGTCCCCATTCCTGGGAAGGGGCTATGCTTACCTCACTCCGTGCCGGGAGCTGCGGGGGCGGCCCGTTATCGGGGCCCCGGAGCCAGATCCTGCGGCGCCATACACTCGAGCTCTGTCCCGGGCAGCTGGACGCTACGGGCCCGACCATAGACACAGGCCGCAAGCTAGAGCGGCCCCCTTACCCCCACCCTCACCATGTGACCAGCTGCCAAAGAGGCGCGCGGAAACTGGCGGGGCGGGGCGAAAGCCGGACGTTCGGAACACGTGACGAGCCACTCATGCGCAGAGGGGTACCCAGAGAGGCTTTGACCGGGAAGGGGGCGGGGAGGGGAGAGGGGCGGAGGCGGGAGATGGCAGCCACGTGATCTGTTGCTATCACACGTGACCGCTCGACTTCGCTCTGAGGAGCAGAGGTGTGGTTACGCGGCGGGGCACGTGACTGACTGCCAGACCCTGGCGGGGTTGGGGGGCGGGGGAGACGAGAGAGGGTGGAGTCCAATGCGGTGCCATGGCAACCTGGGCCACCCAGATCCCAACTCAGGGCTGCAGGCCGAGCCTGAACGCTTCTCCAGTCTCACTACACACTGCACGTCTCTCACTCTCCATATGGTGGTCAGGGATCGGGAGGATGGGACGGGGGTCGAGAGGTGGTGCTGTAGCCTTTCTGCTTCCCTGCCATGGGAAAACATATTCTCATTTGTGTCTTTGTTTCATTCATTCATTCATTCAACAAATTTTTACTGAGTGCTTGCTTGCTGTGTGCATGCGGAGTTTTTTGGTGTCTCTGTCACTAGCCCTTTAAAGTTGTGATGAGGCTGTGTGTAAAGAGGTAGCCAACAGTGTGGTCGTATAAAATAGTAGACAATACCCATTTGAGGGCAAAACTAGGATTAAAGGATTGATGGAGGGTAGATTAATACAGTAATCCGACAGGAAGAGTCTCAAGGTAATGCCCTCCCCTCTTCTAAATTCCACCCCTTCCTGGTAGTGTTAAAATAATGCTTTCTGGCAGAGAAGTAATCAATGAGCAATAGACAGGAATACTTCACCTTTAAGGTTCTTTCCAACACTTAGATGCTATGATATATGTGTGTCTGTATATGTGTATATAAGTGTGTATATTTTACACATTATATATAGATGGATAGATACAAGAGTGAGCATGTGCAGGGAAGTTACCTCCACCACCACCTCGGACCATGGCATTGCATGAGAATGATTTGTGCTCTTCTACAAATCCTGTGACTCCTTGTTTGGGGTCATTCAACTTCCCTCTTTTCCCCAGTGCAAGCTTTCTTAGCCCTTGCTCCTGGCCAGAACACAGACTTTTCAAAATAGCCTCTGCTCACAGACGCTTAGGTAGACAACAGACAGGTTTCTCTCTTTTTTTTTTTTTTTTACTTTCCTTGTCTTACTGGTTACTGGCTCCAACTTCTTTTTTTAATCTCCTAACCCTTTAGGGGAATGGGACTAAGGAGTGAAGGGATCAGTATCTCATTTGCGAGAAATTGTCTAAAATCTGAAACCATTTTATAACTCTATTTGCCACTCCTTCCACTTTTTTAAAAAAAGATTTTATTTATTTGAGAGAGAGAGAGAGAGAGAGAACAAGGGGGGAGGGGCAGAGGGAGAAGCAGACTCCCTGCAGAGCAGGGAGCCTGTCACAGGACTCTGTCCCAGGACCCTGGGATCATGACCTGAACTGAAGGCAAATGCTTAACCGACTGTGCTACCCAGGTGCCACCCGCCACTCCTTCCACCTTAACTTCTATTCTCCTTAACCATCTAGTGGAGGATGTAAGAGCTCAAGCTTGAGGTGACTATAAACCACACTCCAGGGCAAAATGGAATACAGGTAGGTACAGATTCCCCCTCTTGCATTCTGATAGTTGTAGGTCTGGGCCCTTGCTGGCAAGGGCACCTGGGACACTGGAAAGAAAAACCTCAAGGTCTAAACTGGCTAAGGGACTTCTGAGGTGAATGTTTTATTGGCTCTCTTGCTGGGACTGGTTGTTTTATAAACCTTCCGGGGGGCAAAGTGAGTTTGTCAAACTTCTTTCCTACACCAGCAGGGTCCACTTCAGCTTCACCTTCCACAGCTTACTGTCTTTAGAATAAAAGTCATCCTCTATGTCGCCTTGGGTTCCAGCCCCCTTTGTGATTCATTCATCCATCCATCCAAAACATTTGAATACTTTATAAAACCATTACTTTCCTTATCTCTTTTCTTGGGGAGACTTCATTTGGCAGTCTGTCCCTGGTTCCATACCCTCCCTTCTCCTGTTAATTATGCTTTTACTAATTAATTTTTTTCCAGTGTGTTTGACCCTGAGGGCTCCTCTGGAATCCCTTTTCCCTCAGCGTTGGAGAGGGAGGACATAAGTGTAAGGCAGAAATAATGTGATGAGGGGGAAGAGCTGGTTCTTAGGGTCAAGGCCTCCGTGAAAGCAAAACCAAAGAGCTGAGTGTGTGTAGGTGTGTGTGTGGTATTCACTTCAATGTAGTGTGGTGGGGCAGAAGAGTACCAGGAAAGACACTCTCGTCTCTTTAGCACTCTTGTCTCCCTTGCTCACTCACCTCCCTCACACATTACAATTGCACACTCTGTTTTTCATACAATCCGATTGCATCCCTTACACACTCATCTGTTTTCCACTGTCCCACACCGTGCACACTTTTCGGTCTTTTGTGTAAAAGTGTTTATTGCTTGAGTCCATCTCTTGCTCACCTTCCTCACACCTCAGACCCTTGCATAGCTCTTTCTTTGCACACTCCCGTCTTGCACAAGCTTCTCCCTCCCTGGTGCACCTGTGTCTTTGACCACTCACCTTCCATCCTCACCCGCTCACCACCCCTCCCCCAGACCCCCATTAACACACCTATTCTCCTACCCATGTGTACACCCCCCTTCCTTGGCCACTCCCCTCTCTCCCTCCTCCCCCCGGGCTCGCACACCCGCCCCCGCCTCTGGGGACACCTGCTCGTGCGGGGCAGGGCGGGGATGCGCAGCCGCGGCCACTTCTACTCTCCGGCTCCCCGCCCCGCCCCTCCCTCCATCCCTCACCGGCTCCCCGGCTCCCGCCCCGCCCGCCCCGCCCGCCCGCCGCTCCGGGGGGGTCTCCGCCGCCGCCGCCGCCGGAAGGAGCCGCCATTTGCCACCGCCGAGCGCACGGGCCGAGCCGAGCGGGAGCCGGGAACCTGAGCGGGACTGGGGCCAGCAGGACGGCGATGGGGGGCGGCCCCGCCGCAGGAGGACTGGGGCGCGTAACCCCGGGGGCCCGGCCCGCTCCAGACCCGGACCCGTGGGGCGCGGCACCTTGAGGTCCCCCTCCCCGCCCCCTGCCCCGGCCATGGCTGCCCGCCCCGCCGCCCCCGGGCCACCAGCCCTCTCGGCCCCGCAAGCCCCGGAACCCCGGCTGTGGCAGCAGTAAAAGGCGCTCTCAGGCCCCGAAGACCCCAGCCGGGCTCGGCTCTCCAGCGCGCGCCCCCTTCCCGGCCTTGTCCTCTCCCTTCCCCCCCGCCGCCCAAGAGCCCCCCTTGCACGCCGCCTCCCGCCCCCCCGGCGCCCGGACGATGCTCAAGTCTAGGCTCCGCATGTTTCTGAACGAGCTGAAGCTGCTGGTGCTGACGGGCGGGGGGCGGCCCCGGGCCGAGCCGCAGCCCCGGGGGGGCGGGGGAGGCGGCTGCGGCTGGGCGCCCTTCGCCGGCTGCTCGACCCGGGACGGCGACGGCGACGAAGAGGAGTACTACGGGTCGGAGCCGCGGGCCCGGGGCCTGGCCGGCGACAAGGAGCCGCGGGCCGGACCCCCGCCGCCTCCCGCGCCGCCGCCGCCGCCCCCGGGCGCGCTGGACGCCCTGTCGCTCAGCAGCAGCCTGGACAGCGGGCTCCGAACCCCCCAGTGCCGAATCTGCTTCCAGGGCCCGGAGCAGGTCAGGCCTGGGCACCGGGCGGGGCGGGGAGGGGTGGGGTGGGGGCGCGCGCACCTGGGGCGCCCTGGCCGACCACGAACAGGGGGCGGGGCCTGAGGAGGCAGGGCGGGACCCAGGACCCAGAGTGGGTACCGGGTGCGGCTGGGGGGGTTCGCTGGAGAGTCCGGGAGCGCACGTTTGGGATGGAGGGGGTCAGGGGTTTCTAGGGAAAGGGTGGGGCTTTCTCTTGGGAGGGCTCCAAATCCCTCTCACCCACTAACGGGGACAGCCTTTCTGGCCCACTTCTCTCACCCGGGGTCTCTGTAGGCTGAGGGGCCTATTCACTCGTAGGTGGGCAGTGCTTCTGTTCCCCCTTTGAACGGAGGGGCCCTGCTGGCGCCCTTGCCTCACTCAATATTTCTCTCCATGGGGCACTTTTCTTCACTTCCCATTCCGTAACTTTCCATCTCATTCCAAAGAGTACTCTTTGTTTAAATGTTACGGACAAAGTTGTCCCGGGATAGTGCTGGGGGTGGGAGGTTGGTGTACCTATGTCATGAGAAATTATTCCTTGATTAAAGGGGAACACCCTGCGTTCCCACACCCAGGATCTCTCCCCTCTTTTTCGATCCTTGGAAACTGAGGACAATAACCCATCCCAGTCTGCACCACACGTGTGAAATACTTTACAGCGATGGGAAGGAGGAGGAAGGCATGGCTCAGAAGCTCTGACCCTCCCGTGCCTCCAGATCCTAAGGGGTAGCTTTCCATTTGGGAAGCCTTAAAGAGCACCCTCCCCAAATTTTAGGAAAGGAGGAGACCCAGTCATCCCCCCCATTTCTTTTTATCCTTCATTTATTTGGTCAGGGAAGTTTACCTTGAGCTCTAACTTTTTTCTTTTTTGCTGTGGCTTTAGCCTCTTGCCCTATTTTGGGTGAAAGTCTTGAGGTGTTTTTTGTTGTTGGTTTAACGTTGGAGAATGACTGACCTGGAGAGGTTTCCCTCTCTTGGGGTGGAGAGGAGTGGGGTCGGGTGGTGACAGCTGACGGGGACCCTCCTCACTCTTCCTCCAGGGGGAGCTCCTGAGCCCCTGCCGCTGCGACGGCTCAGTGCGCTGCACACACCAGCCCTGCCTCATCCGCTGGATCAGTGAGAGGGGCTCCTGGAGCTGTGAGCTCTGCTACTTCAAGTACCAGGTCCTGGCAATCAGCACCAAGAACCCGCTGCAGGTGAGGTGCAAGGAGAGAACTTCCAGACGGGGGCAAGGGCCTTTCAGCAGTCAGAATCAGGGACTTTCCAGGGAGCCTATTTATCTGTTTCATCTTTCCTCAAAGTTACCCCTACCCTGTAAATCCTCCCGTCATTTATTCACATTTATTGGGTCCCACCTGTAT